GATCATGTGCGTGGCTCTTCTCTGGACTCTCTCAAGCTTCTCCACATCCTTTTTGAATTGTGGAGCCCAAAACTGGACGCGGTACTCCAGCTGCAGCCTCACCAAGGCCAAGTACAAGGGGAGTTAGCCATATTAGTTTGAAGTCAGGTAGATGGCAGGGCAAAGTGACACCATATTCGGTGGGGATCACCCTCCCCAAGTGCCACTCTGACCCCCTTCTCCTGCCTGATCTACTGCTCTGTTTTCTGCTTGCTGCCTTATCAGCTACTGTGCGGCCTGTCCCTTCCCTGATGTGCTGCATGCCACGTTCAGAAGCTTCCCATGCTACTTGCCCAGTGCCACAGGTTGGCCACTCCTAGACTAATTAATTCAGAGAGGAGTAAGCTTTCATGAGCAACAGCTTGCTTTGTCAGAGGCTATGAGAGAAGCATCTGACAAAGTGAGCTTTTACTCATGAAAGCTTATGTGTGTCTGAATTAGTTCGGGGTGTCAGAGATCTGGCTCATGGAGCCCTGATCCAGACTGTTGGGCAGTCTACCAGAAGTTGGTGGGGGGCGCCAGGAGGCAGGGACCCTGAGGCCTGATGGACTCGGTGATCGGTGGCAGGGGCAAAAACAAGGGTGTGCAGATACAGTTGCACTCACCCTGTGTCTGCTGGGCTCTTGCCGTTGCTCCCAGACCTGCTGCAGCTGTTACCAGCCCTGCAGATCTGGCTCAGCAAGAGCCCTACCATCTGGCTCCAGCTAGGCGTGGGTTTGATACTTTGCTGGTGTGTAAGTTGCCATTCTGCCCCGCTTTTTATCTGTTTTATTAATGTCTTAGAGTAGAAATCTGCTTTGGGGACCTGAGGTAGGGATTGTGGCTTGGTACCCACAGGGCTGTGCAACAGAGTTTAGGATTGTGTTACTGTATGTGTTGGACTAAAGTGAAATCAATTTAGCTTGGCTTCTTGGGATATGCTGAAGCATTTGTGTGTGAACTAACTCAGTACTCTGGTGTTGACAGGCGTACTCAAAGGCCCTTAGAAAGTGTTTGGCAGACTGCTTTCGAATGATTCAGAATCTATGGGTTTTCATGTTATCCAGTGAAACGAGGAAGGTATTTATATTAAAGCTTCCCTGGCAGTGAGTAATATTCGTAATAAAGCAGTTACAGTACTCCTTTCTTGGTTGTGTATCTATTTTTCTAATCTAAAAAGCACATCCACTTGCAGTCTGCTGCTTTTAATCTCTAGGACTCCAGTGTGTTGCATTTTATAGCCTCAGAAGGTCAAGGAGTGAGCTTAAGCTTCTTCAAAGCTGGTAAGGTACCCCTTCTATTGGTGCTGTAACTTGCTGGGTGGAATACAGAACAGCGCCAGTGAATAAATATGTAGCCCCTTTTTAGGTTTGAGCATTAATTCACAAAGCAGGCATACTGTGCTTCAGCAGGGCAGCTCTCAGTAAAAAAAGATGTTGCTATTAGTAGATGATTGCCTTGCATTCCTATGGGAAATTGCTGGTATTTCTGCTCTAGTCTTCAGTGTCACAGAAGAGCTAGCTTTGAAAGCAATCGTATCAGCTAGAAAAGCTGCTGTTCTTCTGGTGTAATATCTGTTAATTACTAGGAACTTCTTCTGTTACACCTTGGAGCATATTCTGGTATAATGACATATGTACTAAATAATTTTATTTTTTTTCAAACAGAAGACTCTATGTGACCTGTTTTTAATGGTTGGAGTTCTTATGGCAAACTAAATATAAAAGCGTGCGTTATTTTTACAACTGTAGCAGCAAAGCTTTTCCTTTGGAAAAAATGGGTCAGTTGAAATGCGTGTGGTCAGGTGCTCTGCAAATGGATGAGGCCAAGAGGTAGCTATGCAGTTTTGTGAATTTCCACCTTAAGTTGCTCTTTTGGGCTAGATTCTGTAACTTCTCTAAGTCAAATCCAAAACCCATTGCTGCCAATGAGAGGGTTTGGGAGAGCAGAGCAAGGAGAGCATTCTGCAGTTTTGGTGACTGTGCAGACGCACACTTTCATAAAAAATCCAGATTACTATGCATTTTTGGCAAGTGGTTGTGGAAACTGCACTCATTTTAGTTGCTTATGATGTTATTCCAAAAGAAATATTTATTTTCCTTTTTAAATTCTTATACTGTATTGATACTTTTTGATTTAAAAAATGTAATGGCAGCTCACTGGATATTATATCTGTAGAAAGGTTTTGATTTTGTGTGTGTGTTCTTCTTTGTAATAACCTCAAGAAGCAAGTAACCCAATACTTTGAACCTTTCATTGTTTTAGTTTACTGTGAGGTGTCGTCTGATATTACCTCCTTACATTTCTTTTAAGCAGTTCCCAAACGATATTTCCAGCCTTTTATGCACTCCTTCCTTTGACTCAACAGAGAGACATTTTTAGATTCCTTTTCTTTTGCTTTTCCCTGATCTTACATATTTTAAAATTAAATTCCACCCTAATTCAGCTGTACCAGGTTTGTTGGTCAGAGTAACTTAAAACAATATAGCAAAGTACATATTTCAGCGTTTTGTCAAACTCAAGAAAAACTGTCCTCTTGGAAATCTGTTGTATGGTATGTTTTAGACATGGCCATGAAATGAGACTTGTCTTTAAAAATCAGACTGAAGAAACATTTATAACTTAATAAGAAATACTTGGTACATTGGCATAAACCTTTGAAGTGAGTTCTGCTTGTTCATGAAGCGTCCATGGATTTGGTGCATTGACTGTACATTGGAATTAAGTTGAACTTCCTGCAAAAAGTGATATCTGTTGCTTTTATTCTCCCAGATGTAGAGTGTGGTTCAAGGTTCTACCTGGATTTCTGAAGATAAGTTATTAGTGTTCCCAACCTGAAAACAGATTTCACACTCCTAATTTCCATGTGGTGGGTAGGTGCATGCGTGTGCTTGAAAGACTAGAAAAATAGATGGAACTTAAGTGCACTGAATGGAGTTGCTCACAGTTGTTAGATTTCATTTTTTCCTTTATTTTACCTGATGCCAGATCTTCCTCTGGGGCAAGAATATTGTTTCAGAGAAACGTATACAATTCAGGGGCATATTTAAGGTCTCCATACGAGTAATCTACTTCCTTTGTGTGGTGCAGGGTTGCTGCACTAAGGTTTTTGTCGTGTAAAGGTGCATGGTGGCTTGAGACAATGCAGTATAGCCACAAGTGCAGGGATCAGTCAGTGGATCTTTATCAGATAGGAGGGTACAGATTGTGTGGGTGTTACTGTAGTCATGAAGGTAGCAGCCACATGTATGGTTCTGCTGCTTGGTTGTTTCTGTAGAAAAGATTCCCTTCCTGTAGGATGAAAGTAGTAGGAAAGATTCCTCTTGAATGTTTTCAGTTGACATAGCATGTTTTGGTTCAGACCCTATGTGATTTTTTTTTTTTTAAACAAAAAATCAAATGATGGAGAAGACTTGCACTAGCCTCGTGGAGCCCCTAGTGTCATTCCCTCTCCCCTTGCAGCTAAAGTTTTAACTGTGTCACAGCCACTGCCAATTTGGTGGCAGCTTTTGGCTGAGCAGTGGCTGTGACATTGTTTAAGCGTTAGCTGCAAGGAAAGAGTTAGGGACACCAAGGAGTAGACCATGTCCCTGCTCTGCGAGGCTTGTCTTTAGCCATGACTCTTTTTCATTTTGCCCTCTCAAAGCAAGGTATGTATTATTTGGGGGCATGTGGTATGTAAGACAATATAGTATACCTCTCTTTAAAAGGATCCTGATGGGAACAAAGAGAATGACTTGCTTACCTGGACCTTCAACAGGCTTTAAGTGTTGAGTTTTAAATGGGTTCATGACTGGATCTCTAAACATGTGTCTACACTATGTCAGCAGCATGTCCTGGCTGGGATAATCCTGAGCATTTCCCAAATGCCTTGCAGTCTCCCAACCTGGCCACTGTTCAGCAGACCAGGGATGGATGTCTCAAGAGTGGCTTGTGGGCAAATGGCCCTGCATGCCACATTTTTAAGTTAGAAGCATTCAAATAGGAGCAGATGGGCAAGGGCATGCCTGGGACATGCTAGGGATGCAAAGTAGATGACATCTAAGTTTATTTAACAGAATTACAGTGGTACTGATATGTCAGAGACAACTGAAGATGTTGTTGCAAATTCTCCACCTCTAGCTACAGAAATCTGAGCAGCACTTTCTGAATCGTGTGTGTGTACACAACACACACATTCTTTTTTTGCACACACACATACCTACATACACACACACATAACTACACGCATTCCTTTTTTGCAGGGCGGGGAGGAAGGCTTTTACTTTATTTTGTGATGGCTTTTGGGAAACAGATGTTGCTGTTTTGAGGGGCTCTTATTTAAGCACCTTTATTGCAAATTGGATGGAATTCATTTGATTTATGCTGTTCTCAGTGGAGCACTTCCCTGTAATAATTTTAAAGTGGGCAGGATGATGTCAATTCTATTATCCTACAATTTTATAGATAGTTTGCATTCCAATTGCTGGCTGGAACTTTTGAATAAAAATTTAGACTTAAAAATATTTGACAAATCTAAGTGCAGATAGATCCTGCTTTCATTATACACATTGGAAAGTATTATGCCTGATTTAATGTTTGGGCTACAAATGGCATTTCTCAGCTACAGAAGAAATTCATTACTGGCATTCTTGTTGGTCTAATGGCACACTGTACTCACTGTTCGCTTGCTAAAGTGCATCCTGCTATTAGTGGTGTGGTTGTATGGGATGTAATTGAATATAATTTAGTGAAATCATGTAGCTAACTACGGCATGATCCAGTTACTTTGAGCTATAAAAACAGTAGCTTGGATGTACAAGCTTGTGTTTTCATTAGATTCCACAGCCTGCTCTTTATATCTGATATGCGCCGCTACATGTATCCTTATAGGTACTGTCTTTATTTATGTGAGGTAATACTATTTTATTACAAGTTGCAGTTCAAATGAATTTTTTAACCAACATTTAGATTAAATATTCCATGCTAAGACTATGGAAGCCATAAGAGGCTGAGTTCTTATTTTGTGTACCCTAAGTATGTTGTTTTTAAGTTGCACCAGGGAATAGTGATGGCAGAGGCACAAAGGATTTGAATCCAAGATAAGGAATAGAATATCATTTTAATGTTTTGTTTTAACCCCTCAGTTCATTGTCAAATGTTTGCTAAGCTCTAGTTAAGTATGTTTACAGTGAAATGCCAATATTTTTGTAGCAAACAGACATGCAGTCAATTTCATACCAGTATTATCTTCTTTTTTTTTTTTTTTCCAGCCTTGAAACCGTTTGTAAAATGTTTCTTTAAAAAAAAATGTAATGGCTGAAGAGGAAATGAACTATGGAGTTTTAAGGAAATGTTTTAAACTAAACAATATGAGCATGGTTAGATATTGCAGTTGAGTGGAAACATGCAAGTAATTTTGAAGATTGTTAGCACAGTGCATTATATCCTTTTTATTTTTAATCCATCAGAGAAATTGTGGGGCACCACCACCAATGAAATTGCCACCTCCATATCAAGTACCCAAAACATTCCAAGCAGAGGAGGAGGATGTGGATGAGGAAGAGGACGATGCTTTTACAGAGCGTAAGTAGTACTATATTTTACTAAGAAGGATGACTGTGTTTATGGAGCGTGGTTTGTCTGTGTGCCAGTACTAAACAGCAGTTATATAAGTTGTTATGAGTATTGTATACAAGAGAATTGCTATCTCTAGTGTTCTACATTACACTGAATTGGGCTTACTACTTATTGTTGACTGCAATTCCACAGCTGCTTCTCTGAAAAAAATGTTGAAAAGTGCTGGAAGTGGTTTTAGATCAGTTGGGCAGACACTGCTTTGTAAGATCTAGGCTGATCTACGTGTTAAAGGTATCTGTGCTTAAAGACAAACAGGATACTTCACCCTTGTGGTGGCAAGAACTGGGCAGACCACAGCTTGATGGCTATCAATGGAAGAAACCCTGCCCCAAAGAGCTTGTGTTGTCAGACAATGCCCATGGTAAATTGTGGCTAAAAAATCTTTGGTGACAAAGTATTTTGTTAAGAGGAGTGATTCTCTTTCGTGGAGCACTTTCAATTTAAAATGCTGCAGGTGTCTACAGACTTCATACCATAGTTTATACCTGGCTCTGCATGGAAGTCAGACAGCTGTAGGATGCAGCCTGTGTCTGTTCCACAATGTGCAGGACAAGACAAAATCACACTAACTGCTGGAGTATTTGTGAAATTGGTGAAAATTAGTCATTCAGTGGATTTCCTCTCTTCTTGTTCCTCCCTCTCTTGCTAGGGGTAGACAATTATAGCATGTGTGTTTGGGGGTTTTTTCTTTGTTTTGTTTTTTTTAACTTTTGTGGGTTTGTGGTTGTCATGTGTTTGTGTCTTTCCCACAAAATAGGCTGAAGCAGAGAGATGCATTTTATTTATAGCCAGGTTTGTGGTCACATCTAGCTTTTGTGGGTGGAAGTTCCAAAGCTGCGTGTCTGATGAGAGAGCTGTCATTTGTTCTTGTTGATGGTATCTTTGTTGCTGCCAATTGCCAGTGTGCCTACCAAATAGTAGTGGTGTCCCCTGGTCACGGAAGTGGAGATGATTTGGGTCAGTTCAATTCAGGAGTGATAGGAATCTTGATCTGCTATTTTCTGGCGTAAAGGGGCTGTATACTTCAATGGGTTTCTGGCTTCAAAGGTCAGCTGCTGGCTGTCATGTCAAATGGAATTTCTTTAAAGCTCCAGCATTTGGTCTCAAGTACAGTGTTTTATACAAATTGCGTTTAGAAATGTCCATGCTTAGATCCTCTTCTGTCAGGTTGGAAGGCACATCTTGACCAACTAAAGAGAAGGTATTTCTGGTTGTGATAGGTATTTGGGTGTCCATTAGTAGGAAGGAGAAATGTGTGTAGCATTTAACTTGTAATTCTGTGGATTTGGGACAAGTAGATTTTGTATTTTTTGACCAAACTTTTCAGTTCTCAATCTACGTGATGACCTATCTTACCAAGGCTGGTGGTGTTGGTTATAAATGGCAGAAGAGGAATTTGCTCCAGGTTTACACTGCTTGATGAGGACATGCTTCAACCCAAGCATTCCATGGCAGCTGGCAGAGTTAGGCCTCTGCCACGTGTTACACTTAAGGCATGTAAGTGTAACTAGTTAATCATGTTTTTTGTTGTAACCCAGCCACATATTAAAGCAATTAATACATCATAAAACAAGGAACAAATCACAAAGTTATTTCCTAAATTGTGTAATAACTTTGTGGCTTGCTCCCATGACACCATTAATGAATGTGTGGATCACACATCAGATCCCATCTCGTCTTTACCTGCATGTCTGGAGGGGCCCTTAATTTTGCATCTTACACAAGGATGCTTTTAGAGATTGTTTGGGTCACACCACAGCCATGAAGCAACTCCCAGTGGTCAGGCCATCTGAGATCTACTCTATGAAAAGCTAAAGAGATTTTTTTGGTTAAATCAATCTTGCCTTGTTTGGCTGCAGGGAGCAATTTGTGTAATTCTCTTCTCCTAGCACCCTTCTTCCATATCTTCCCTCCCTTTCCATCCCAAAAATCCCTCCAAAGCGGGGGTGGGCAATTATTTTGGGTGGAAGGCCACTTACTGAGTTTTGGCAAGCCATCAAGGGCCACATGACAGGCAGCCAGGGGCAGAAAAATATTAATGTTCTAAATTTTTAGGGGCCCCAATTTTTAGGGCCACATTTTGCCTACCCCTGCTCCAAAGCCAAGCTGTCTCTTCTACCTTAAACCTTGGTCTAGATAACCAGTTACCAAGCCAGTGTTGAACAAATGTGTTTTATTCCACTTTCTGCTGATCTCCATGCCTTTAATTCTCCACTCCCCCACAAATTTGTTCCAACTGCTCATATGCTCTTGAGATCAAACTAACACGGCCCGCAGGTCAGATCTGGCCTACCAGGCAATACCATCCAGCTCGTGGGGCCCCTCTGTAAGACCTCTGTAAACCTTGGCCCTGGGTTGCCTCTTTGCAGACCGGCACCTCCATGAAGGAGGGATGGCTGTAGTTGCTAAGCAAACCCTCCCCCCTTCCCCCCCCTCCCTCCAGCCTGGTCTGACCTGCCCCAGCCCCAAGCCAGGGGGTGCTAGAAATGAGAAGCCTTGGCTTTTGCCTGGCCGCCCCATGGCTGTTCCCAGCCTGCCTGTGAGACTGGAAATGTGGTCTGGGGCCAAAGACTTCTGCTGGGGCAAAGGAGGTGGGAGCTGCATGCTATTGGGCTGGGTTGGGCTGGCCCCGCATGCTGCAGGAACTGCATGCTATGCAGCCAGGTAAGGCTGGCTGTGCACACTGCCGTCATGTGCAGCCAGGGACTGGGGCGGGAGTGTGGAAGCCGCATGCTGCCACCATGTGCAGCTGGGGACTTGGGTGGGAGTGCAGGGACCTGTGGCTATGGAGCTGTGGGAACTGGCTTTGCATCCTGCCACCACATGTGCCCAGGGACTTGGGCAGGAGTGCTGTTGGGCCATATGGGGCTGGCCTCACACGCTGCCATCACCTGCAGTTGGGGTCTGGGGTGGGAGCATGGAGAGATGTGTGCTATGGGGCTGGGCAGGGCTGGCCCTGCTGGGTGCCACCACATGCAGATCCAGGGACTTGCACCCTGCGCCACACACACACACACACACACACACACACACACTCTC